GTCTCGATACAAACAGACTACTGACCTCGATCTAGTAGGCTGGGGAAAGTAGTGGCAAATACAATATCGCCTGACTCTTCACTGTGGAGCAAGAGGCTTGCCTCGTTTTATATGCGAAGAAAAGTTGGGTTTCGAGGACTCTCTTGTTTCATAATTGTTGAGCTTACCTACAATTCGAGTGAAAGTGTTGGGTGAAGAGATTCGAAGGTCAGCATGAATCTTCCAGTAAAGCCAATCGACAGCTGGCCGTCGTCTTCTGTTGGAGCCGACCCTCGAATCTCTTCACCCAACACTTTCACTCGAAATGGGAGTAAGCTTGCCTCGTCTTAATTGTAATACCTACCCACCAGTTGCCTGGTGGATTGAAATTCAATGGCAGAAGTCAAGTCGCCGCTTCACTTTAGGGCGAGTAGTACACAAAACGAGTGTAGTAACTCAGTCATGCTAGCGCTCACCACGCGAGTAGATCGCGACGTCACCTGACCCGCTAGACATGCCTTGTCTGCACAGTCGAAGCATAGCGCCGGTCGTCTACACCAGCTTTCTGTCTCTCGCACAGACCAATGACAGGCCCGATGCGCGAGCATGACTCAGACAGCCTGAACGTCGATCAACCAATCCCGTCTTGCCTGTCCCTGACCTGCCACCAGATGCGCCAAGCTTAAGCCCCCGGCCCCAAGCCAGATAAAACCAATTAGAGGTCGGTCTAGACGACCCTGTAGGGAGCCAATGAGATATCGGTCAGCCAGACGCGATTTCCTCAAGGCCGAACCTCCGCACGTCACGTTGACTACACAACTTTGAGCTCAATGTTAGGGCTTCCCTTTGGCTCTTTGAGTTCACTCTTCATTTCGTGATTGACTTTCTCGTTTGACTTTCGCAGCATATTTTAAGCGTAATTGTCCCACACCTAATCGGCGATTTCCTTTCGCTCTTAACTTTTGTGCTTGGTTTTCACACTTGGCTATTACAAAGCATCTCCGAGCTTCATTTGCATGCTTAACTTTCACATCGCATCTCAGAGTCCAACGTTTTTACTTCACCCAGGCGCTTCAAGTTTGTGTTTCACTTTTTCGCGCCAAAATTTCCCGCTTCGTTTTCTAACTTTTCTTTTGCATTTTACTCTCCATCTTTAATTTCACTGTACTTATCTGCATCCTATTTTCGAGCTTGTGCTCCGTATCCTCCTGTTTCACTTCCGTGATCTAATTTTGCTCTTCACTTTCTCATTTCAATTTATCGCCCCATTTCTATGCTTCACTTTCGAAGCCATTTTTAAGCTTCACATTTGTGTTCCACACTTGTGAATCACTTTCACTTTTCGACTCTGCCGCATCTTTGAGCTTAAATTTTGCAGTTAGCTTCTGCTGCGTATCCTTTTTTTCACCTTTGAGCTATACTCTTGTGTTTAGTTTTCATACTATAGATTCGTATTTCACTATCTTCATCGATATTAATGGTGCCGGGCTGTAATCAAATTTGTCGACTTGCTACCTCTACTTTTACGAGCATCCAAACTTTTTAATGGCGAATTTGTATAGACTACTCCGGAACTTAGCTTTCTCTCAATCCGGAGTGACAATGT